TTTTAGCGCGGATTTTGAACCACCCCTTACAACCCTCTCTGCGGCTCAGTGTAAAAAGCTAGTCCCATTGACCACGTGCCTCCCCCCCCCCCTCCAATATCACCATCACCCGGCAGTTTGGCCGCCGCGCTCCGTGCTGCAGGTGACAGTGTGCGCCGTTAACTCGTGGCTGTCTCGAAACAGGTGCTAGGGGCCCATCGCGCCAGCGCCAGCCCCGCCCCACCCCGCCCCGCCCATCGCCCGACCAGCAGCACTTTTGGCGGTCTAACGCGAGTAAGCCTCTTATATGAAGGTGGAAGACGAAGGCGCCAACAGCTTATAGTGCCATCACCAGTCCCGACATCAAGCTAAATATTTAATTGATACTAAACCTGTTGCTGTTGCCGGAGTGAAAGGGATGGCGGTGCCCGGCCTGAAGCAGAGTATTACGCCGTGATAAAAGATAAGCGGATGCTTATTCAGGGCGCGTCAGTCCGCACGGGACACAGGGAAGTAAAAGTACTGTGCTGCATAGAGCGGGTGGGTGTCCTGATTCGTTCTTTGTTCCGGTTATCCTGTGACGTGTGCAGGTGTGCGAACGGGTTGCATACTCGCACGCGGGGCCAAGACGAAAGATGCTGGGGTGGTGAGAGTCGGTAGGCAAGCAGCCCACGCCCGCACCACTGCATGAAGTACAGTGACCAGAAAAAAACAAATACGGCACGGCTTAAAACACCCAGCGTGTACGTATAGCCCATGCATGCATTTGCCTCGTTGCAGCACAAAATGTGTGTCCGCCGAATTTGCCAACTGTTTGTATTTGGCTTCCATCCAAAAGGGGACCCGTTTGCAGGTGAATATATGCACTTCTCGTGTACTCCACAACGAATTCAGAGTTCAGAAAGGGCAAATGCAACATGCGTTGTCGTGACAACAACCAGCAAAAGCAACATATCCTGTCGGATTTATTCGTAACCCTTGACGGGGAATTCTTTTATTTTTCTCCTTTTATTTTCTGGAAATACCGACGAGGATAGCGGATGTGGGACATAATAGCCAGCTTCAGAGCAGAGAAGCGCCTCCAAACATCCAGCCGTTCAGTGAGCCTAATACCGCGGGCACTAAACCTCCTCTTTTAAAACTGAACGGGGCAGGGCGCTTTTGTTCCGGGCCGAGCCCCGAATCGATCATCGGGACCCGACAAGGATTATGTTTCGAAACGATGGAGCTGGTCCCGGTGAAGGGGCCGAGCCGGGGCGGTGGAAGGGGTGTGGAAGGGTTGCGGAGGGGGCGGGCGTGTACCCAGCCCCGGCGCAGCCCGGCGCAGCCCGTACCCACACGCGTGTAAAACGATACATTTCCCCGCTGCTGCGCCGCGCTGCGCTGCGGTTCCCAGGGCCGGCCAGGGTCGGGTCGGGCCCGCGTCTCATAAACAAGTCCATCTCCGCGCATGACGAGCACGCTGCCCCCGGCGGCATGCCGGGTAGGCAACAGGCACCGCGTCGCCTACTCCTCCTCCTCTGTCCTCGTCATCGTCCTTTGTCCTC